AGCTGTAGAAACGTAGATTCTGCTCGCCTTATCCTCTGAGTAGAGTGCCACGCGGTCCAAGTTCAGATCTACGAGTCACCACAAATTTGTTGTTGGAATCTTCCACACGAACGTTTGGAAGTTTTATTCTGATATAACACAAATATACAAATATCCAAAAGTAGCACCAATGGGGAATTAAAGCCAGGAACAAGAGATGAAGGAACAGCAAGGAGCCAGGAGCCAGAAGTTAGAAGCCCCTACTGTTTGCGCAGGGGGTATTTATACTGAGCACCAACAAAGAAGTGTTTTGTACAAGACACCCAAAAAAGTTGTTGATGGCTTAATCTTTTCAAGAAGGGTAAGTGACCTATTGGTGAGCCATGAGAAACAGTCATGAGAAAGAAAGTACAGTCTTTCATGGAATACAGATAAAGCAAACTGTAGACAAAAACAACAGAAAAAGTTGCGGGAATAGAATACATGTAAAAAGTGCAAGTGAACTATATAAAAGGGTAAATGGCGTGAACGGCAAGTGAAATGAGTAGTGAGGGTATGTTTATAAAAAGCGCAGCCTCTTGATGGGCCTACAGATAAAGAGGTCTGCGCACAAAGAGTCTCGCGTATCGATTGAGTGAATTCAACCGACTTGTAAGCTGAGACTAAATTTAGTGAATAACGACGTAAAGTCGTCATATCGGCCACACGCCGACTGCCTAGTTAACGCTGGAAGCTGGCAGCAGCTAAATAGCTCCAGCTATGTTTGCGAAATCCGTGATGACGACGCTCAAGAGATTGATGATAGCCTTCGGCATAATGACGAGGACACGACATCTCCATTCCTTACAGTAAGCTTGTCCTCGAGCTTCAAGTTCCTTTCAAGTGGTTTGCGGTCCTGGGCTGGAGCCATCATTGGTACCAGTTCAGGCATGCCCTGACTAAGTCCAAACCTGTACCGCAAGCTTCTCTTCACGGCGCTGCTACACAGCTAAATGGATAGGTTAAAAAAGAAAAAGGAAACATTTGAAATATTTCAAACATTTAATAAGGAAATATTTTCATTTCTCACCGCCGTCTCGTCATTGTAACGGGGTGGAGCCGTTTCAATTCGCTGGACTGCCCGCGCTATCGCTGGCGGGCTACGATTTAGCAACTCCTTTCTTTCGTTGGCAAGGGGGATGCAATTATTCC